TGCGCTAGGTTAGGTGCTGTTACATCTAACCTGTAAAACCTAGCAAATGTGTGAGGTGAGGCCCAGCATGCAGCTGCACACACCTCCTGAATAGAAACCCCCCTAAAGAGAGCCCATGAGGTTGCCAGACTTCTAGTGGAATGCGCACGCAAGCCAGCAGGAGGCTGAAGGCCCCTGCTACTATAGGCCAGGGCAATTGTTCCTACTATCCAATGGGAGAGGCGCTGTTTAGACACAGGCTTTCCCATGTGTGGTTGAGCCCAAGACACGAACAGCTGGTCACTTTGTCTGACACTCTGTTCTGTCCATATAAATGCGCAGAGCATAAATGTTTACAGTCTTTTGTTAACATGAATGTTCAAGATGTTCAATAAAAATGTTAAGTGCGTATATTCTCCCATTTTCTGTTTGCTCATGCAAAATAAAATGCCATTAATATAGAATAAAAATGAATGATATTTAATCCTGATTAATCAAAATTAATCCACAATAACCCTGTGATGAATCTGATTAAAAATTGTAAGCCATGTGGCTTGCATAGATAAAAACAGTGGGAAGAAAACATTTCCTTTTAACAATAAGAAACTTCTGAAAAGAGGGGGTGGTAGAACATTCCAGGGAGAAATGCTCCTGTAAAACATGTTAAATCAGCCAGCAAAATTCTTTTACATGTAATTAATACCAATTTCCTTTAATATCACTGTTTTCTTTTATTGATCATTTTAATTATTAGTAAATTATTAGAAAAATTAGAGAAAACACTCTTTGAGAGGAACATATTTTTAATGAACTAAGTAATTTTACATATTTTACAACACATGAGCACCATGCAAGCCACAAATAAACAAACATGTACAAATAAATAAAGCGATATGGTCTAACTTGCACAGTGGACACTTTCTACAAAGTATCTCATTAAGTAATATAGACGGTATTTCCTCACCAGCACCCAAGAATGTTTGTCTGTCTCTCTCTCTCTCTCTCTCTCTCTCTCTCTCACACACACACACACACACACACACACAAAGCTCTGCTTTTGGGTGTGTGTGCATGTGTCAGAGTAATTTCAAGCTAAAAGCATGCAACACACAACTTCTGCTACAACACAGCTCTTCTACTTTATTCTCACAGTGACACATGGGTGAAAGCCTAGTAAACATTTCATATAAAGATTGACTGAGGTGCTAAATGAGATGTTGACATAATGTCAATCCTTCCTTTAAATGGAGCGGCCCAGACCTTTGAAAACTATTACAAATCGGGTTGGCCCTTCTATTTCCTGTCAGTGTGGACAGGAGGGATTTATGTGTGCAAACAAAAATGTTAGCAAACAGACAGGATGTTGAAGCATTAACTGAAATAACATGCAGAATTCATGTTTTCTACTCATTTTAGGACTACATGTATAAAGACAAATACTTCATGTGTACTGAATATTGATTAGCAAGTGGCATCCC